TCCTTTGAAGAATATGAAAAAGAGACAGATGATGCAGGTTTGTGTATTAGTTTGAGAATGTACATGAGCTTTGAGCAGGTGACATACTGTCATTGATTATGTGTCAATAATCATAGAATCGCAGAATAGTTTGGGCTGAAAGGACCAACATCTAGTTCCAGCCCCTGCCATGGGCAGGGACACCTTCCACTGGATGAGGCTGCTCAAAGCTCCATCCAACCTGGCCTTGAGCACATCTGGGAAAGGCATCCATTCCCAACCCTCTTTCAGTTTAAGGCCATTCCCCCTTGTCCTATCATTACATGCTCTTTTGAAAAAAATCATCCTTTCTGTAGCTTTAGAGATTGTTCTGGTGGTACATCAAGGTGTTGGGACATGGCAAAATATCCAAGTATAGCTTTTTTATAGTGTTTCCCCTTTGCTTATATAACTGGGTTCACTCCCATGATACCTACAAATTCTGTAAAATCTCACAACATCCAAGAAGCTCATGCTAGGAAAGTTTCATTGGAGAAGTCATTGAAAATAAAGCAATCCCTTGTGATGATTTATGATGTCTCCTTTTCTACCATTATTATTGTCTCAGTCACATTATTAAACCCCCAGTTGCCATTAAAAATGCTGATTGTTTAGGAATGCCAACCACACCTCCATCAGTAACAAAAGCCACCCAGAGTTTCTGACCAAACTTGAGCAGCCTGAGGCAGCCCAACACTGGCCTTCCTCTGGGAGGTGGGGGGCTTGGACTGGCACATCTTGAGTGAGTTATTTAAGTTTGGGTAGTTGCATTACTGACTTTCAGTTACTTGTTTTTTGTGTTACTGTTTTAGTGTCATTAGACAATGATAAGTGTAATCTGTTACACACATTGGTTCTGGGGTCACTTTTTTTTTTGTACTTTTCATGAAGGGGCCCTGTTATTAACATGGTGCCCATCAAATAAAAAAATATTTCGCCAGTTAATAAGCATAAAACTTTTGTGTGATCTCAGGGGTTTCTTGACTGGTACTAGGTGAAATGTCTGAAGTGGAAGAATTAATTGTTTGAAATTTAATTTGAAATTAATTGTTCAAAAGTGAACAATGCAAAAGCTGCTGAGAGGATTTGAAATCTCAGATTAGAGTTAATGAGGGAGAATGTTATCCACAAGGATAAAAATCTGAGACATTTCTGAAGAGTGAATAAAATCATCATCGTCATGGCTGAAGAGAGGCTTAACATTTTGGAAGATCATAGATAAGATATTAGCTTAGGAAAGAAAATAAACAAAGGGGTAAACATACATCAGAAACCTCTGTCTTTTAGTAAGCCATTATAGAGAGTTTGGAATTATACTGCTCATCACTCAGTCTCATATCTGAATCTTTTCTGGTGCTTTACAGAAAGATACAGAGTGAAAATTGAGAGCCCATTAAATTAACTGAAATGCTGCTATTTAATTCTACCTGTTTTCCTACATTTGCAAAAGATAAAGAGGAAAATAGTGATAGAAGTCTGGGAAAGTCTTCTGAAAATTCAGAAATACCACAGAGACTTTAGCTACATTCACATGGAATATGAAAGGAAGTTCAGAATAATATTTTTCTCTCTTGGTTTAAAAACATATTGTATAAAAATATGGCACAGAGAAAAATCATAATATATTTAACTTTTCTTTTTTTCCAGGGTATATTTAGATAAGAAAATCAATCAGAAAAGACTTTGAACCATTGCAAACTTTTCTTCAGACTCTGATTTCATTCCAAGAAAAGTTTATTTTGATTTATCTTACACCTGTTCCTAACAAGCTAAACTACCCTGAAATAATGTGCCTGCCTGCCTTCCCTACCTCCTAGGGAAACACAGAAAGGAGGTGCTACTGTAGGCAATGGGCATATTCTTTCCTTCCCTATTTCCAGCTGAGGAGTTAGGGAAGGAGTTTTGGTGGGACTTGCGTGTGTGAGGAGTGAAGATGAGAGAGTAAAGTGTGAAGAAAAACATCACTACCTAGGAAGATGCTCTTCCCTTCAGCTGTTTTTCAAACAGGTTCCCGTGCATTTTCTGCTCCTCTTTTTCCTCCACCTTTCTTCCCTTCAGAGAGAACCTCATCCCTGCCCTCCAGATAGAAGGGCATACACAAGTAGATAACTTCTTTGGACTGATGTTTTCAAAAATGGAAAAGAGAACTTTGCTACTGTTGGCTTCTTCATCTCTCATGCTCAGAGGGGACCAGAGACCCTCAGTGGGGCAGGGGGCTCCCAGCAGTGCAGGGCAGAGGCTGTGCTCTCCTGGCAAGACTGAATTAATCTGAATTTTTTGCAGTGGGGGGCCTTCATAAAGCTCTATGTCATAAAAAAAAAACCAACTGTCAGAGCTCTGGAATAAGTAGGAATAAAGGCAGGAGCAAGTCACTGAATTTTTTAAAACATTGTCCAATTAGAGGGTGGTGGAGAGTGACCAAAACCCCAAGTGAACATTTTAATAATTTCTGGACCAAATGCATAATTCCCAATATTTGGGTGACCTGATTATTTTTTAAGTTTTAAGAATGATTTTCAGGAACATACACTGCTCTTCTAATGATCTCTAACTTGCTGCTAGCCAGTCACCACTAAGTCAAAATGGCTCTTCCATTGCTACTCTGCTTGGAGGCACAGGGATGAGTCAAAAACACCTTGCCACCGTGTTAGTCACCAGGGACACTGCTTCTTCAGCACAGTCTGTATTGCTCAAGACATTCCAGCACCTTCTATGTTAGCCTTGGATCCACATAAACACAACTAAATATAGAAAGAAGTTTGCTTTAGGTGGGTACATGTGTGCTAAGTGTCTATGCTGACAGTATAGTCAATCGAGATCTAGGGTTTAGTTCAGCAGAGTACAGGAGGAGCCTGTCTCCTGTTACACGATATTCCCCGCTCCCCAGTCACTTCTCCTGAAGAGTACAGCTTTTACAGGTCCAAGAGCATAGCTGCCAGATCTAGGGGACATCTCAGATACCTTAAGGCATCTCAAATGGCACTGGACAAATAAATTTGGGCAGCTGAATTAAGCCTTTCTTGTGCCAAGCACAGAGTGTGAGGCAGCTGAGCAGCCAGTAAAAGCCTTCCTGAGGATTAGCTGCACCTCTCTCAGCTGACGTGATTACCTTGTGGTGCTTGGGGAGTTTAGACACCTGCTTCACATGTAGACACCTAAATTTAAATATCCTCACGTGGAGCTCAATCCAATTTCATCTATTTTTTTGATCTCTGTTAGAATTTGTGATGTCTTTTAGGTTTTCCTAGTCAGTTTTCCTATTTCTGAATTCTCACCCAGACCTCCTGCATCTGGTTGTTGTGAGCTTGAGATTTGTACTGTGCAAAGACACCTTGTCCACTTCTGGCTCTTCATCTCTGAACTTGCTGGATTTAGAAGAAAATCCAGTATTTTTGGTATCCAATTATGTAGTAGCCTCCTATAATCCAATTATGTAGTAGCCTCCTATAATCCACATATGTAGTAGCCAAAGACATTTTAAAATGTCAGTGTAAGACAGGCAGAAGGTCAGCCTGGGCCAGCACAGTGTCAACAGCCAACAATGAACAGCCAGGGAGGATTGCACAAGCAGGGCTAACACACAGTGATGTTTCTCTACAAGAGTTTCTCAGCCCACAACATCCTGCTATTTGAAGACATCCTGAGCCAGAAGTGGGCTTTTAGTATTAATTATCCCAGGATTAAACCTCCTCCCATAAGATCATCCAGCTGGCTTTAAACCTAGGTAGATTCCTAGCCCCTTGTGACAAAAGTTTCCACAGTTTAGCAGGACAATCCTGAAATCACAGAAACAGGTTGTTTGTACCCTTGGAAATGTAATAAGAGGACAAAGACATTCATAGGTGAGTTCATAGAAACCCAGTATGTTTGTAAGCAATGAGGGGTGTTTGGACCTCATCTTCCTTTGGTGGCTTCCTTTGGTGGCAGGGCAGAAGGAACAAAGGCTATTTCCTGCTGTACTGCAGCAGACTAAGGAAACAGTCCCCTGCATGTAGGCACAGACAATATTCTCTCACTGCTTGCCTGTGGAGGAGGAGAGCTTCACTTTCTGGGTCATTCTTGTAGGAGCTATGCTAGGGACAAGATGTGTGTTTCTATCCAACACTAATGAAGTAAAACTCATGTCAACAAGAACTTGCTTTCAATTATTCATCAACAAACATGAGTTTAGATTATCCTTGCATAGAAACATACAAGCACCACAAAACCCTAAGATTAAAATGAGGTATTTCTTACAAGGGCTCTTTAAGCTTTCAAAGTTTGCCAGGGTATTAATCATGAGGTGAGGAAGAACAGAGCTTGTTCTGTGCTTTTCTACTCTGTGCACAACAGCATGTCTACCACAATCATTGTAAAAGAACATTGTGCCTTCTCACAGCATCCGTGTGCCATCACTCTGCTGCTTCTTCTCCTCTCCCCTTAAATGCTGTTCTGGCTCTGAGGACAGCTGGCTGATTAGTTCATGCACACCAAAGTTGTTCTCACAGGTTGACTCTGTGACCTGAAGAAATAAATCCTAACACTCGCTGAGCTTCAACTTTCCAATGCTTCTAAATCCAATTCTACCAGACTCCCACCACTGGGCCTGCCCTATTTTTTTCTTACCTTAGTTTTCTTTTTTGTCTTTGCACAGAGAAGTTGTTATGGAAAGATAGATAAAGGGGAAAAATTCTAATCCATCTACTGATTTGTACGGTTTGCTACATCTGGTTTCAAAGTTCCTAGGTGAGGTTTTTTCAACACTGCTCCTATTATCTACAGGCTTTGAAAAAATTGCTACCTTCACTTTTCACCCTGGAGACTCATGAGGTAGTTTTGACACCAGTCCTGATCTCACATCCCTATCTCAAATAGGAATCTATGAATTTTGGATTCCCATCCACTACAGGAGACCCTCTTTTGTTCTCATTCAGCTCATGTAGGTGTATGTACTATTTACTGATACTTGGACATTAATGCCTTCTGTAATGTATTTCTTTCAGACATCATTGTTCTCATCGCTTCAATAGCAGTTGTTTCTGCAAAAACTCAAGGTAACATTTTTGCAACATCAGCACTGAGAAGTCTTCGTTTCCTACAGATCCTTCGTATGGTGCGCATGGACCGAAGAGGAGGCACTTGGAAATTATTAGGTTCTGTAGTTTATGCACATAGCAAGGTATGTAATCCTAGATACTAATTTTGTCTGGTTGATATCTTCCCTTGATGTATTCAAAGAGAGTCCAAGGAAATAAGCATTTATCATTTTTGAGCAGAATACCCAAAATTTTCTGAAGTAACATCAGTTGTAATATGAACTAACACAGATACACCAGGCCATGTTTAATGCCAACAGTTTTTAGAGATCTTGAAAATGTTGTCCTTAATGTGCAGCTGTAATTTGTTATATATTTGGGATGTTGCTGAAGCATCAAAACATAAGAGTAGATCTTGTCCACTTTCAGAGAAAATTTGCATCCATAGGGAGGGACTTGACTTTTAACTGCGCAAATGCCAAAAAACATTTATATTTTCATTGTGTCTTCTTGAGTTATCATTCTATTCAGTCCATAAAATGGGAATTGATCTTTGTTCTCTTTTATCTAGGAATTAATCACAGCCTGGTACATAGGATTTTTAGTACTCATCTTTTCATCTTTCCTGGTTTATTTGGTGGAAAAAGATGCAAATACTGAATTCTCCACATATGCAGATGCTCTCTGGTGGGGCACAGTAAGTACAGAAAAATACCATGGACTCGTTCACCAGTATGCTAAAGTTAGAAAAGTAGTTAAAGAATACTTTGAATTTCACCTACTGAGGATTTTAACTTTGTGTGCTGTTCAGTGAATTGTTTTCACTGGTTTGAGAAAACCGGTTTGACAAAAAATTGGTTTTAGAAACTTCCTCCTTCAGCTATTCATTTGTACATCGACATATTTCAGTCCATCCTGCAGAACAGTTGTTCATGTGCTTCTGCTGCAAACCAGACCACTAAACATTCAAGAGAAGAAAGCATTGTGCTTTTTAACCCATAGCCTTTCGGTAATATAATTTGTGATATGGCCCCACAAAGAGCTGCTTTGATACAAACCAGAGGGCTGTAAGTGGCAGTGCAGGAAGAGGAAAAAGTGGCAGGAAAAAAGAGGGAAAAACATTTTACATCATCTTTGGCATGAGGGTATCATCAGTGCCCTTTAAAAGATGTTGTTTCTCCTTCCTCTGTACATTGAGGACAAAGACCAAGAACAAATTTGTTCACTCTGTTTCAGCACTGTTATTTTTTATAGGCATAAAAGGTCTGATTTACTTGAGTTCATAGTTAATTATCAAATCAATTGTTTTCACTTTGTTGAAACCTGTGGGATCTAAGTTCATGCCTGACTGCTTTTCTGAAGGAGGATTATATGAATATGGTTTAAGAAGCTAGGCTTTCAATGAACAACAAAAGGCTAGTTTTGAAGTTTTGATTTTTATTTTCTTTATGGCATAATGTGTAGGGGGTTTTGCTTAAAAATGTCCTATAGTGATCCAGATTTCTCCACTGTGTGAGAGTTACTTAGGCAGCTTAAGAAATCTGCCCCAACAAAGCCTAAGGCAATTATTGTCAGGCAGTGTAAAACTGCTTTTCTTTTCCTTCTGATGCGGTAGAACACACGCAGTGTGCTCTGGCAGTGTCTGGGTAGTGAAATGATACCTGGGAGATCATTAATGCTGACAATAACATAGAGCACTCATTAGTTTCCTTGGAATAAGTGTGAGACCTGAGCCAGCCTCTGCCACCTTTCCTTATCAGAGGGATGCAAAAATGAAGTTTTATCACCTCAGACCTTTTGCTGACAGGATATCATCTAGATTTAGTAGTATCTGCAGACTCAGAGCATTGCACACAGGGACTGTGCAAAAGCCCTTTTCAGAATTGCAAACATTTGTAAGAAGTTTTGTCTGCATTTTGAGCTAAGGTCAAGGTCACTCACTATTATTAGAGGTAGTTAGTGTATTTGAAATTTGTTCATCTAAGGGCTAGTCATTTGTTGCATGTCTTTCCTAAAGACAATATTTCTGTGTTATCATTGCACAAAATTGGGAGCTTTAAAAGGCCAAACCTAGTAAGTATTATGTGCACATTTACAAATATTCAGAAATATATTTTGCTGAAACTTGTTATTTCAGAACATCAAGGAAGATTGCTGATAAAATACGCATTTTATCCTGTAGTGCAAACACACATAAAATCCATATTGGCTGGAGTCATGAGAGAAGGTTTTGCATTCAGTTGCATCACTGTAGTTTATTTTGTTTCCCGTTTCTTCAAAAGCTGAGCTCTGGGTTTGCCTTAAAGCTTTCTGATCTTCCTGTATTGACATAGTTGTGAAGCATCTGGCACTGGATGCTGATGTCCTGCTATGGGAACCCCAGCTCTAGCAGTCTGAAAACACCATTGTCACTTTAGGGCGGCAGTGGGGATGTGGACCCTCCTGTGGCTGTGCCTGCTCATGGGAATGGATCTTTGCAGACATCTGATTTCCCAGAAAACAGCCTCTACCTCTCTGCAAGGCCCTGTGTGCCTTAGCACAGGCAGGGAGTCTGGGCTGAGCAGAGGATTGTACCCACCTGCCAGCTGGAATGGGAAAACGCATGCACAAGGAATGAGAAGGTCCAAGCAAACTCAGCTCCACTCTGGCATCTGACTGAGGCTTATGTTAGATCCAGATCCTTCTCCCTGAGCAGCTCTAGCAGCAGGAACAAGACCTTTATTTTAGAATTTGCTTCTCCACTACCTGCTGACTGCTATTTTTTTAAGGGAAAGTCCTGCTAGGAAATAATCATTGTATAAAGTGGTGCTTAAAATATTTTGTACACTCTGAAGTGAAAGTGCATGACTCAGAGGTTATATAAGTATTGCAACTGAGAAAATCAGGAATCTTGTTCTGATTTTAGCAGGAAAAAAAACACATTTTTTTTTAAAACTTGAAAACAATATGTACTGTATACTTCTATATATTTTCTTCTTTCCTCAGTGTATGACATGAATATATTTAAGTTTTTAATGCACTTAAGCAAGTGCACAAAGTTACTAGAAATCAGTGTTTCCCCTTAACCTGTTATCTTTGTCTTTTAATAATAGTAGGGTTTTTTTACAAGATGTAAAACAGTATGTGGGAAATGTATAATGTGCTTCTTAGTCACGGTTGTTTTTACTGCCAGAGTAACCCACATGCAGATTTTTGAAAAGGACAGACTGTATGGCATTTTAGGAGAAATCAATGCATAACATCATTGGTTTGTTTATTTGCAAAAGTTTCTCTGACTTAAATCACAGATTATCTACCAAGCTCTGGACTGAATTGTCATGGCAGAGACACAAGAATGAAAAGGCTGCATCAAAGTCAGGCACAAATAGTCACGTTAAATTTCAATCTTTTAGAGGGACCTATGCTTCTCCTTACAGGATCAGCACTAGCATGCTGCCATTAACCCATTCATTAACTCAGATTAATTAAGAACCATACACTGCTATGGTTATTTCACTGACTCCATTTCTGAAACCCATATTTATATACAGAAATGAAAAGCAGGATATGGCATCCATATTTACATATGAATACTCCACTGTATTTGCAATTTCATGCTGTACTGTGCAATCTGCTATTGAATCATCATGTTAATATTACTACTGTGAATATTCTTGTGGTTGGGGTCCCCACAGTGCTGCCTAACACAGTAGCACACAATGGTTAGTGTTATATGAAGAGCTCAAGTTCAAAATTTGCTTTGGTAGAGAAGATAAATTCATTTAACAGAAGAAAATAATAAAACTACGTGGGAATGAAAGGTCAATTAAAAAACTGAAGTATTTCAAAACCAAACCACGTGTGGTTTCCTGAGATATACTGATGTCAGCTAGGACTGTTGATACTCATAGAGACATTTAGTTTGTACATTAATTAGCTTTAGCTGCAAATGTAATGCAGCTGAAGTTTCTGTCCTTCTTACACATTTGACAGAATTTCTCTTAATAAGTCTCTATTTTCTAGTAGTACCCAATAGTTACAGCCGGATACAGAATGGCTCTCCACAGTGACCTGTTAATGAGCAAAACATATTACAATTAATTACATTGTCACAATGACTAGCTCAAATGAGTTAACATTGATGAATTTTTTCCCATTTAATGTAAAGAGAACATGAGCAAACTATATTTTTTTCGGTTAAGCAATGTCGGGTAATGATTCAAAAGGTAAGTACTGCTAGGAGAACATAAAATGACATCAGAAAGAAATATTAGGGTTGAGAATGGCCTCCTGAGCTCTATCTCACCTGATTGAAGTCATCTAAGTTATATCATAACACCCATTATTATATTACCTCATTTATAGTAGCGTTTTTATTAGCTCCAGCAATGAGAAAATAGATGTTCTATCATAATTGTGAGTTTTGAGCCTGGCCAGATGACACTGCCTACTTTGGCTAGTCTGTCCAGACCCCTCATTTATAGAAGTAACCAAAATGGAGTGGTTTGCATCTTTTTTTTTTTTCCCCAGACAAGCCCAAGTCCTACACATTAGGATAGGATGAGTTACCTTTGGTCCCTTCTCTCTTACCCACACAATGCTGTCTGCTTCTCGCATGATTATTGGGGTTGTCTGGAAATTTCTTATGTTGCCATGTTTTCCCATCCAGTCATTTTCCACACCCTGCTCAGTTAATTTAATCTCAGGATTATGCCAGTCAAGGCCTGGCCAATGGTTTAATCATTCACTAGCACTACTACACTACTACTAATACTACTACTGCTACTAGCACTACTTACAAAGATGCAGTGGATTATTCCCAAACTCGACCCTGAAGTTGTCCAAAAAGACATTTTCTTAGCTGTATGGTGAGAGTAGTATGAAATGAAGATCAAACCCCTTTGCTCAGTGTTGAGTAAGACAGCACACCATGGTGCTGACACCTATACACCCCTGTAAAGACCATCCTGAGATAAAATAGCTCAAACTGAGCAAGAAGTCGCTGATATTCTTAATCACAGTCTGATACCATTAAGTCCTTAGTACATAGAAGAATTGAGGGAAAAGCTTTAATAGGGTCTTATTATTTTCTTTGGAGAAATTCCAGAGATACACTCTGTGTGACTGCTCCTGGTTTTGGATTGCTCTCAGATGTCAGGTCCCAAAGGTTCAAGTTTATCTCTGACTTCTTTGGAATACAGTTCGGTGGCAATATCATTAATATGCAGATAACGCTTGGTTCTGTTTCCCTCTCATCAGCCCAGACAGGAGATATCTCTGTACTTTCCAGTGACTGGCAGAGATAGGGAGCTGGATGGAAGCCAAGAAAGTGGGCTCATTCCAGAGCTCCAAACTGCTTTGCAATAACTGGCCTGGAAACAAATTTTGAGGAACTTTTATTCAGGGATTCATTTGTTCAAGTGTTTCATTCCTCTTGGGCTCTTAATAGCCTCAAACTGTTATGCAGTCACCCTCTGATGTGAAGAGCTGTGATTATCTTCGTCAGCAAACAAATCAAGTCCCTCTGCCAGGCCAAGACCATGGCTGCACCAGCTCATCTCTGCCAGAAAAGAGAGAGTTGTATTCTCATCTTCCTTCCTTCCTCTTACTCCATCTCAGTCTCTCACTGCCTTATGCAGGCTCTGGAGCTTGTTAGGCACGTCTGTGAGCTGACACAACAGACCAAAGCACCAGCAGCAAACCATGCAGAAATGTGGATCATTTTCTGTTCCTTCCTGGGTGGCACTGGCTTGACAAAGTGTCCAGAAAAGGCTCAGAAGAAGTGAAGAGGAGCAAGGAAGAGTGATACCTGATAGGCATGCAAGGTGGTGTGTCTGTGACCAGGCTAGTGTTACAAAACTTGAGACTTGATAACCACTTGAAATTTCAGCTGCAGCCTGAATTCATCTCTCTTGCTTAGTCTCTGTGGCTTTCTCAGGGTAAATTACACTCGCAGCTTGTTCCCAACAATGGGAGCAATTAAAAGCACTGTTTACTATCTACAGAGTCCTAAATAGTTGAAATCTAATTACTTCCAAAAGACTTTCCTTCTTTTGTCCCGTGGTGACCCTGACATTAAATAGAATTGTTTTGGCCGTCTTGCCTAGGAATGAACTTTGAGGAAGCTGGAAGCAAAATAATGTCTCTAGAAGGCAATTTCCTGAAGAATCTGTTGCTGCCAGAATATTTGCTAAGCCTGAACTTGCCCACATTTGGTACACGATGTAAAATAATTCTCCATGCACATGTTCTCCCTAATAACAGGCCCCGGAGTCCTTGGCATCCAGCCTACTGTTGTCTATCTTTGTCCTTTAACATCGTGTGCCGCTGCCTGAGCACGCGCCCCGCAGCCTCCCAGCCGGCCCTCGGGAGTCCTCTGCTCTGCCCACACCTCCTCCAGCTGCCCGCACCAGGCAGCCCCGCGGGTCTGAACTCTGTGAAAGCACACAGACACAACGCTTCTGCCAGTCCAGTCCCCAGGGATGGGACTGGTGTGCTTCCTGGGCCACAAGCCACCTGGAGGGCAATTCCTTGGGTCAGGGAGAGCCCTCAGACTCATCTTTTGCCTTCAAGATGCGCTCAGTGAGCCCCAACCACGCCCCATTATCTCAGTGGCCTTGTTGCCCATGCCCATGGCTCCCTCCTGCATTAAAACCTGCCTCCCCTTTCTCTTTGACCTGTCCCACAGGTAGGTCTGAGCTAACATGGTCCAACAGCTCGAGGTACCTCTGCATCTGCTGCTGCATAGTAACCTTTGGACCTTCCTGTCAGGAGTGATGTAGGTGTATCTGAGCCTGTCAGGAGGAAGGGGAAAGGACCAGAAACTTTACTTAAAGTTCCCCCCAGCTTATGATTAGTGTTTTTCGTGTTTCAGAAGAGAATTCACTTCAAATTGTACTGATAGGTTTGCAGAAAATGCAACTGCTTCTTGCAATTCCTTTCACTTTATATCATCAACAAGTATCAAATTCTTCCCTTCTATATTCTTCCAGTATTATCTCCATGTAATTTATATTTGTTTAGTTAGACAAACACATACAGTTTCCTGCAGAGAATAGGTGAAACACCTTCACATCTATGGAAAAGAACACTTTTTTTCTGCCCAGCTTATATAATTTCCTACCATTTTCCTCAAATTTGAGATCAAGACAATTTTTTATTATTTTTAAACTTACTGCTTATTTAGGTGTTTTTACCACATTTATTATTTATCTCAGTTTTATTTAGTCACAAACAGTATTATGTTTATTACACTTTCCCAGGAAAGTGTAAATGTTAGTATGTTTATGTTCATTTTTTTAGAAACAGCTATATGTTTCAGATGTCTTGGATTAATTAGTGGAAATGGTGCTTCATGCAATGTAAATAAACTGCAACTAATCTGTCAGTGACTTCTGGTAAACCATGTTGTTCATTCATTTCTTTTTAGATCACATTGACAACCATTGGCTATGGAGACAAAACTCCTCTTACTTGGCTTGGAAGGTTGCTTTCTGCAGGATTTGCTCTACTTGGCATTTCTTTCTTTGCACTACCTGCTGTGAGTATGCCTATAAAATTCATAAAAAATAATAGAAACTCCTGTAGGTCCTGCCACTGTTATGATACAAAAAGCTGAAGGAAGCTGTCTGTATGAAGAACAACTGTTTAAGGCTTTCTGCTCTACAACACTAGTGAAAGTGCTTTCCAAAATCCAAAGAAAAGGTTTGGTGTCCTTGCTTTAGTTTTGTAAAATTTCTCTGGCATGGAAAAAACTGGGAAATAACCCTAAATTAGCTTACGTACTATTGTGTAAAGTTGAAAAACCATCCTTTTTTTATGAATTGTGACTTATATATTACTGCTTTTCTTTCAAGTTTTTCAAAACAAAACAAAAATAAAGGCACATTGTATGCTTTTCTAACTTAGATTATAGTGAAAAAATTAGCTATTTCTAACAGCTTGTTTTGTGTGGCCACGTTCAAGCTGCCAACAGAGAGTAGCAGAAGGCTTTAAATCAACTAATAGTTAATGTTGTTGAATGCAAAAGATGCAACTATTGTTTCTGTGAATAATTGTAAATAAACATTACAGTTTATTTATGTTGTTTCTATCAATGTTCAAGAGGCTAATGGAAACTGGAATTATTCAATGACTAAAATATAGTGTAGCTTTGGAAATAAATTCTCATTTTTGTGAGTGATCCTCCTTTTTTTTTTTAATTAGTTTTGAATTAGTATGAAATGAGAAGTGGCATTTGTATTTTTTGTATTGTCTTCAGTGCTATGTCTTTTGATATTTTAATACCCATATACTTTATCTATAGATCACTATAAAACATGGATGTTATAATACTTCATTTATTTTCAACCATATAGATAAACCAAGATTAGAAGTCAGAACTTGTCAACAGCATTAAATTATCTGGTGCACTGCATTTATTTCTTACTCTAGATACAAAGTGTATTTCAGTATCTTTGACATACTATAATGCATTATAATTACAACCCATTACCTGTTTGTGAATCCTTGACATTTATTGACATCTACTGTAATTAATTCCTTTTGTCACCTAGTCACCACTAACAAGAAAGCTAGTCTCAGTAGCACTACAATGAAAAGATGAATACCCTTGCATATTAGAGGTGCCACAACTTTTGTTCCTTATGTCATATCCATGAACAGATACTGGGTTTCCTCATAAATAGTTCTGTGCTGAATCTGTCTGTAATACAAGAGCTATGTGGGAAACTTTTGCACTCCTTATAGTATCCTGACTAAGAATCAAGTGGATATATGCTTCCTTATAATGCAGACATGTTCAGTAAAAGTATTAAATTCCTTGCAAGTCAAGAAGGAAAACATCCTCAGTCCTTGGATCTATTCAGTTTCAATCAAACTTATCTTACTCAAAGGTAAAAGGCTAAAAGAGGAGAAGTTTCATAATCAGCTTTTTCAGCCTCTAGAATGAATAATAGTTATTATTTAATGGGAAAGATCAAGAAGAAATGCATTTTCTAACTTTTCTAAAATCAAAAGTTATAATAAGTACTGCAGATGTGGACTTTGATATCCATATATATCTGGCATATCTGTCAGCTGGTCATTTCCTCATTCCTGACTCAAGTTCCTCTGAATATCCCTGCTTGATTTTATAAATAAATATCTGTATCTATCTCTATGGCCTTGATAGTTGTGCACAATGTAGAGTACAGAACATTGCACTTGCAGGAATGTAGTGTAGCACAAACCCAGGCAATGGGTGGGATGGGTGGTCATTGGCAGCACCACAGATGTTATGTAAGGAATCTCCTGCTTCAACAGGAAAGGGGAACTACTTCTGTGCCTTCTGCTGTCATATACTGGTCATAAATGTGTTATCTGAAGCAACCATATGGTGTGACATCATCACAAAAATATTTGTAATTGATGATGTATATTTGTTCAAAGACTACCTACACATTGATAAAATGATATTGCAGGGCATCCTTGGCTCAGGATTTGCGTTGAAAGTGCAGGAGCAGCATCGTCAGAAACACTTTGAGAAAAGAAGGAATCCAGCTGCAAGTCTAATTCAGGTAAATATGAAATCACCAAAGAGACAATCACAGATGATTTAAAGTACAGATTGGAACGACTCTTATTATTTCCATTTGGAAAGTTTTGTGGAAATAATACTTAACAGATTGGTTAGTTTCATGACATAACATTGTTCAGTGACTGCTATGTGTTGCCATAATTCTGTACAGAATCACAGATTGATTTAGGTTGGAAAATACCTTTAAGATCATCAAGACAAGCTATATATAGCATTTCTGTGTGTAGTTTTTGTTCTTCTATCCATGTCAAAGAAACAGAAGAATGCCAAATGCATGCCTGAAGTCAGAAAGCTCTTTGGAAAAAGAGAACTGATTCCTACACAGCCCAACTGACAGCACAGCGCTCTTGCCTGTATTAAGCTACTTTTCATCTACTACAGGGCTTAGAGTATTTCAGTGAGTGATAAACTTGGTGGAGATGAAAAGTGTCCTGCCCAGAGAATTGCTTTCACTATTAGTCAACTCAAAAGCTGGAAATGTAGGCACTAACAATTTCAAAATGTCTGAAATTGTCTGAAGTTGTGCTGACATGATGGTGCAAATCAACCAAAAAAAAGTAGCATGGTATGTTTTAGGCAGCTGTTTGCATTGGCTTTTTCCTGAACTTTCAGTTCTAGTTAAAACTGAGAAAATACTCTAAAGAATAATTTTGCACCAAGCTTTACTCTACATGATGCACTGAAAAAAAAAGCAAGGAAATAATCTCCTAGAGTCCTAGTTTATTTTCCTAGGATGCCGATTGCTCTATGTGGGCAATGTATTATGGTTTGTTTTTTTTTAAAATAATAAATCCAAATAAAGAAGCTGAGCATAAATATGCTACAGTTCCATGCTAAGTACACATAGATGTCAGACTGTCTTTGAAACATTCTTAAAGTAAATAAATATTTTTAATTATTACTGTTCAATTATTTTTAAATCCTAAATATTTCAAATTTAATATTTGTTAGAATAATAAACAAAAATAATTCTGCTCCTTTTGTGTCTAGTTTAAAATGACTGTTTGGTGTATTTTCTAACACTTACATTACAATCTACTTCTTCCAAGTTTGATTGCCAGAGGAAACATATAATAGATTTAGGTTTTGGATATAGCTTTTATTATTATTTTATGACAGTTCAACCAAAATATTAGTAAGAAAGCATGCTAAATAGATTAAGAGCAGCTAGCTGCCCAATTTTGGAGAGTGACTCTCATTGGGAAAATTATTGTGAACGGAAGACATTTGTTGTGGGATCCCATGATGAAGGTTGTTCAGCAATTACATGTTCATTTAAAGGTTCAACACTTTCAGTGATACAGAAATTAATATAAAATTGCTGGTAGAGATATTTTCTGAAGGCACAAGGCCTGGCAAAAGAGGAAATATGAGAACAGGCACACAGGAATAAAACCAAGGACAATCTGGGTGACTTCTAGGGTGAAAGGATTACTGCCAAATGTTTTAATACAACAAATACAAAACTTGATCTAGAAACTGAATCTAGATTATTACAAGATGTCTCTATCCCAGTATTAGTGAATCAGGAAAGGATTTGATGAAGTATGAGAAATACAGAAAAGAAAGACTGCGAAAGAAGGGTCAAGAGCTTCATACAAGTTTCTATTATGTTACTACACCTGGTTTTATTAAAGTCCTTAGATACAGAACCATAAACATAACAAGGAGAAGACTGATACTACTGAGTATGATGATGCTCACACTAATATGCTACATACTGACTTAGCATCTACAGCCTGTGAGACTGGAATATTGGAGAGAGCAAATAAAACATTGGGAAAAATGGGTCAAGGACTGGAGAAAAATTTGTGTTCATAAATGCAGGAAGTGTCTGAACTGCATATCATTAGGTACTGTAACAGTGCCCAGGTTTTTTTTAATTGTCTCTAGTTTATCAGATGTCAAATGTCTAATTTCTAATTTCTAGATCAAATGTCTATTTTCTGACCAGTTACGCTGTAGAATTAGTCTGGGCTAACTCTGTTGCCACAGATAGACTCTTTGCTAGAGCCTCTACCTGACCCAAAAGATAGCTGTAGAAAAGTGAAATGTTTTGTATGGATACACTTTTCTCAATTTCTTTCATTTATAAGAAATATTTAGTCTGAGAATTATTTGAACACAGAAGCTCAGAGAGGAAGTCTTGGAACCTACTGGACCATTTAATGTAGCAGACAGAAACATAACAAGCAACTGGGTATAAGCCAAACCAAAGAGTTTCAAATTAAAAATAATGTAGTAATTTTTGACAATGAGAATGATCAACCAATGAAGCAATTTTCAAAGTGAGTAACAGGTTCTCCATCTGTTAATGAAGACTGGATGTGTTTCTGGGAGATACGCAGTAGGAAAAAACAGGGTATTAGATTCCATGCAAGAATACCTAGATGACATTTAATGGTTGACAATATACAGGAAGCACAGATGCTCAGTTAATACAAATTAATATGGTTATGCTGACATCAGGGAACATGTCCCAGCTTGTAGAACCAAGGCTCATCTTACTATCTACATGCACTATAAATCTAAACAACGGATACATTTTCAATGGTATGCTTTGGTCACTTGCCTTTGAAATTATTCCTTTTGTATTTTTAAACATTTAACAGTGTTTCAAACCACAGCGAGTGCTTCTCTTTTCTTCTAAGTGCTTTTTATCTGGTTTTCATTATGATTTGCAGAATGTATTATGACATTTTCTCTACGTCAAACTGCAAGTTTGTGTGGGTGTCCCCTACGGACTCATCACAAATAAACCACTGCAACACTTTTCTGAGCACCTTTATGTGCAGAACATCTCCTGGTGCTTTCACAGAGCCAGTAACTCTTATTGCATAAGGTGTACTGGGATTCACAAAAGTTTTGGTAGGTTTGTACTGGTATTTCCTGAATCAGCCTAAGCGAGCACATCCTGGTCTGAGCAAAATCCCTTCACTCCATAGTCAGTGCGGTGGCATTGTCACTTCATTTTCTTGGTTCCTTTGTGCTTTTCTATTGTTTCCCCATACCAGGCTTCCTGGCGGTTTTATTCTACCGACGCCAGCCGAACAAACGTGGCAGCCACCTGGCGATATTATGAAAGTATTCTTCCTCCCCTCAGGCATGTATCAGTGCTATGAATGATAAGAGAAAGATACGACTTGTATTGGTTACTAATCTTCTTTTCAATTTTTTGTTTCATCCCCTACTCCCTCTTGCCTTGTTTTTTTTTCTTTTTTTACCATATATCCTGCACGTAGTGTGTATGGCGTAGTTATGCTGCTGATGAGAAATCGGTTTCCATTGCTACCTGGAAGCCTCATTTGAAGGCCTTGCATACCTGCAGCCCTACAAAGTAGGTACAAATATGGCAGCTGGTGCTGTTTTTGATGTCTGTTCAAGCTTATAGAGAACTAGCATTTGTCTGTTTTGTCTTGGTTTGTTGTCTTAAGTCCTCTCAAGTGTTCTCATTAAAAATTTCAGCTAACAGATCAATATCAGGTAGGAGCCCAGGAACAAATACAAATCATTGCTATTTATCTTAGAAATGTACAGGCATTAGAAACATTTTCCCAACAACCCACTCATGCATCACGGTTAATGATTCACCTCATTCCAAATTATCCTTAAGGAGAAATATTAAGTTTAATGCAGAGCTTCTTCCTTGGTTCAATGGTATTTTTATGCCTGTGCCTCTGTATAAGGCTGTAGCTGCAGATCTACCTTTCTGAAGAAAGAGTGCCTTGTGGTATTTTGCAAGTGAATGCACTGGGGAATTTGCTCCTTATTGTCATAACTTCTGATATATTCAGCATTTCCTTAGGACAAACTATACAGACAGTGGAAGATGACTCAAAAGACCTGTTGCCACAGTTTGGCAGACAGGAAATATTTGATGTCCTAGTTTGGGTGAGAATTCACAGAGTTTGGCAGCCCAAGATTTTTCAATAATTTTCAATAATTCAGTAAAAGGTTTAGCAGAAGGCAGTAAGTTGACTGATTCACTAAGGGGCACAGATCAGGAAGTAAAAGACACTTGATAAAGATCAAAAAGGAGAGCGCTAAGAGCCTTATGGGAAAGCTCTGATAAGCATCTTAACTGTTGTTAATTGCAGACAGTGCAAGAGAATTAGTGGTTTCTCTCAAAGCTGGGTGATGAACATCCACATGACAGTAAAAAGGTAATTGTGTGCCAAAAAGCTCAGCCAAAAAGAAGTTTGGCTGGGTATCCAAAGCTGATCTTTGAATTTCAAAGAGTTGACAAGAACAGAGCCGTAAGTAATCCATTACCATAACTGTAATTCCAAACTGCTCCACACTAAAAGGAGCTTTTAGATTAAAAGTTACATGAAGTATTGATATTTTACATATACAAACAGGTTGAAAGCAATGTTAGTATAAATGGATGGATAGAAATTACATAAATAATGAAGCTGTATCCCACATAAAACATTCTAAAATATGACAGTCCCTCAAAAGTGCATCTACTTCATATTTTAAATAAACATATTGCTGTGCTATCCTAAAATTGAACCTTTTTATTCACCAGAAATAACTTATCTAATAAGAAACTACAGCTTTCTGTTATATATGTGTCATCAATGCATTTTGCCTAAGTGCTTTGCCAACTCAGTCTGCAGTGGTATGTACTAAGCATGTTATGCATGTGTTAAAAAACCTGAAAAGTTTCTTTTCCAGAAGCACTGTAGTTATGAGTCTTGCTTGAATGCTTTGTGGTTGCTATGTAACGTGTGTTGTACACCAATTAACATACCCATTTACGTTTATCATGCATATAACATCATCTGTAACTAAGTAATGTGATTACTATCTGCATAACAAGTGTGTTTTTCCCTCCCACTCCCTGACCTGAAGAAAAGAACAAGGGGAATCTTCTAGCAGGTTTGTAGTTTCTTTTATTTCTTTTATCTGTGAAATTGCTGTTTCCTAATGGCTTTTAGATGTCTTGGGTTTAGATGTCTTGGGTTTAGATGTCTTGGGTTCTGTGTAGTAGGTTCAATGAACTGTTGATAGATAATTATCACAAATTGAATTTTTTTTAAACTCATATGCTGCTGAAATTTTCTTCTTTGTCACAGTTTTTCTATGGGAAAAATAGGCAATTTTTTACACATCTAACATGCTGTAGCTTTGAGGGGCTCAGTTCAGTGGCAGATCAGTCAGTAGACCAGCCTCCCCAGACCCAGCTCCTGGGCAAGGACAGGGCCCCAGTTTCTGCTGTAAAATCAATGCAGGAATTACAGTGGAAGTTACAGACACATAGTTTAATTTGGCAATGTGAAGAAGCCCACCAGCCCTCCATTGCAGGGAGGACCCTTTGATGGGGCTTGTTGGATATCACTTTTTTCCTGCAGGAGCATCCCTAAGGGTTCCTCAGTGCCATGTCTCCACATTTTCTAACTTTTCTGTCATCTCCTCCTAAGGAGCATTTTGGGACACAGGAGGTGGGGGGAAAGCAGTGTCTCACCTCCTCCTGGCTGCATGGCTTGCACTCCCCCGTGGCCCAGTTCGAGCAGAGGAGCCAGACTGGTATCTCTGCTGAAGAAAGCCCCACTGCTGGCAGCTGGGAGCACAGGTGGGCTTCTACCTAGCCTAGATCCCAGCTGAGCACCGACTGCCTACAGCTGGCAGTGGCATGTCCTAAGGCAGTGGGAGAAAATGCTAGTCTTTGCTGTAGTGATAGCACAGATCCTTAGGGATAGGAAAGGCCTCAGTGGCTATAAGAGAAATTATCTCAGAAACTCATTAGGGATGGGAATCAGCAGGCGTTTGGCAGCTGGCACTGTGGTATCAGCACACTCAGGGAACAGCAGACTTTACCTCCCAGCAGAAAATGCTGAAAAACCAAGGAAAAAAGTGTTGATGACACATCAGCCCCTGAAACACATTCAACCCTGAGCTGTACTGTGGTTCACAAATGCTTCTGGGTTATTCAGTCAGGGATGAAAGTCTTCACATCAATTACCCATTCCACTTCCCAGACTGCTCCTCTGGCACCTGACTCCAACCTTTTCCTCCAAGCACATGTAACTGCTGTTAGTGTCACTGTCACTCAAGGGGACAGGATTTGCTCTGTCAATTCTGGGACTTTTTGTATACATAACCTCCACATGCTTGCTAGCAACATATTGATCTCATTAAATTATTACAGTCTGATCCAAACTTTTTGTACTCACCAGCTGTATTTCCTAGTCCTTTGACAGAAACATTCAAAATTGACTTTTTTAAAGGTGACACAGAAGTTGCCAGAAAATTAGTACATCCCTTTAAAATTGGGATTTGTGCAGAGGGGAGAGGTTATCCCCAGCTGTACTTGCAAGCACTAAAAGAGACAAATGTACTAGAATCTACTTTTTCATCTACTGGAAACTAGATGGGAAAAAAAAAAAAAAAAACCCCAAACACCCAGCTGTCAAAACCATGTTATGTTCTCCATATTAATGATAACAATTGTGGATTCAAAAGAAGTCAACAGTTTAGCAGATTTATTCACTTTATTTTCATGGAATGGAAGATATTTGCTGCTTCAGAAACACGTAACTAATATGTGAACTGCTGCAAGTTAGTGCATATGTAGAAATGAACTAGTTAACTTCTGAGATCATGTTCTACAGTAAAAACCCTACAGAACACTCAGTGCCTTTTAAAAAAAGGTGTATTTGTCAGTGGCTGTTTATTGCTCTTACGCTGATGTATCACTGTATGTTTGTATCACTGGAAATACATGTGGTGTATGTGGTCTTTTGTGGCAAAAGATGTAAACGTGAACTGCTGCAATGTACTTTGAGATAACTGTCCTTGACTATTTAACTTGTTTCTTACTGCAATGCTAAATGACTTGCATGGGATGCTGTGTGAATTAAGTAAGCTTCTTGTTTCACTCTTTAAATGAAGACATGTTTGCACAAGTAGTACATTGGATTGCATTCTGAACATGCTCTTTGCTCTATAGTCCCTTCTAATAACAGTAAAGAAAAACTAGTATTGTGTTAGGGAAAAGTTCATTCATCTTCTTTCCTACAAAATTGACTTATATTTACAGAAATTAATTTTTGTGTTTTGTCATGTACAGACCTACAGCCTTTCATTAGGTAATTAAATGTTGCTACTCATTCGAGTTGAGAGAGCTGTGCTTATATGCTGTAGCTTCAGATTGATTTTAATAAAAATGTGTATATTGTATTTACCAAAATTTTATACATAAGTATTCTGATTAATCACTTATCAGAGTACTGGTAGACAACCTCTCTGGCGTATCCAGGCTATAAATGAGGTGTTTCTATAAATCAGTTCCAGAGTTGTGCAAGTTATTTTAAAAGCCTATATATTAAACTCTTAATATCTGCAAATGCACACACTGAAAACAGTATTTATTTTTGTTCAGTTATACAACATATCTGAAATAGTTGCTGTGCAGGAAACTAGATCAAGACTGATGAATCTTGTGACATACGGAGAGCATAATCAGTCTTAAACTGTCTGTAGGACATGCACTGAGTGTCTGCAGAGGATGAATGTCACCCATCTAGTCTTGTAACTCATGAGGCTGAATATGCATTCCCTATTCAGACAATTCTCTCTGGTGCAATAAGGAGCAGTTTTGCCAGTATAAGATCTTTAGGGGAAAACTCAGCCCTGTTCTGAGGGAAACAAGTGAATTACATTATGGAATTCTTTCACCTCCTATACCATATCTGTTTCTAAAAGTAGATTTAATGTAAACACTTTGCATGCACCATATAAAAAAGAAATTGCCAATGATGCATAATCTAACTTGAGGTGGAAAACCTAACCCCTTACCTAGCACTGGAATGCTTAGTAACAGAGTCCTCTATCTCCCCTCACTCCTAGTAAGCTTTGTAGTAATAAACAGAAGCTCTTCAGGATGTACACCCCTCGGAAACATAGGTATTCAGCATCCTGCCTATTCACATGATGTTTGAGAATGCCAACTAACATCAGGTGCATGATTCATTCATTTCCCCTCCTTAGTGCTTTAAAGTTCATTACTTCTCCAAATGATGTTTCCTATTTAAGTGCTTGTAAGTCCCTTTTTGCTTGTTGCCTGCAATGCCATTAACACGATGGCAGCAACACCAGTTGTTTCAAACTCATCCAGCCAGACAATTGCAGTGCGCAGCACACCGCGGTTTTACGAAGCCCCATTCCTCTTCTCTGCCTGAGACTTTAACTTCTGGAATTTTAGATCTCCCTGTGGAGATCTAAAACTGGGGTTGAATATTTGGGTAAAGCCATTTCCCCAAGTCCAAGAGGATTTTTTACAACCGTGGCAGTTGATTTCTCCATCTAATAATCAGTGGAGAATGTTAAGCTATAACAGGCTAGGCAATTGCAGCAGTCAACATGTGTGATTATTCTTGGAGAAGAATCCCCTTGGACACAGGTTGTGGATGATGTGCCTGCATCCTGTGCTGGAAGGTAAAAGAGTGCATGTGAAATAAAGCATCTGCTTCGGCTGAATTCTGTGGAAATTGTGTCTCTTACCAAAAATGGTAATTCCTAGATAGATGAATCTTACGGGAAGAAGCCTATGACTCACATCTCAAGCTGATTGCATTTTTTCTTACTTATTGAAAATAATGTAAAAGACAGTAGAAGTACAAACTGATTACAGAAAATTAGGATCAAAATAGTTTCTCCTCATTTAGAAATTGTTTTGGAAAAGGAAAAGAAGCACAAACAGCCTGAATATTTGCTTTTTCCATTTGACAATTGAACTATAATATACTGTGGCCTGAAATTCTTGTTATTACTTATTGAAAGTATGAGATATAACACTAAATTTCTTGAGTTCGTGGTCCTAGCATGAGACTGGTGGCAAAGTCTTGAATGTTTGAACTTTAGGTCTCACAATATTATCCATTACATTTGCACTTGTTCAACTTAGCTTAATTTCAGTAAAAGTATTTTTAGGCTCAGTACAAATCATTAACTGTATTTATAGGTAGTTAACTGCTGAAAATTGGCATGTGCATTTGCTTGCTGTTGTTTGCCATAGGTGATAATTTATGGCAGTTTTAGCTTCTGTTTCAGGACTCAAAGTATGCTTCTTCACCCTCAGGCCCTCCAGCTATTTCTGATTCATTTCTATTTCTTCCTATACGTGCTTCCACCAATTGGCTCAGTATGAAAAGCTGAAAAACAAGGTGTAAATTGTGGCTAGCAGCAAGCAGTAGTGCTGCAGGTCTGAGGCTGAGGCAGAGCAGAAGTTTAACTTGACCAGAAATGTAGGATGGTGGCAGGCAAATGGGGGAGTTGGACTGGGAAGGAAAGAGATGCTCAGTTATTAAAGTACAGGGAGATGGTCCGTGGAAGACAGAGGGAGCAAAGGTTTGTATGCATTTGTCAGTTAAAACAGTCTCTTACCCAGAGTAGTCATTTGGACCAGCAGAAGGTGATCGTTCCCTCTGCAGTGAAGCTACAGTGACCTCTAGCGTCCCTACAAACCTATTCATAAATCAAAGGTGGTAAATGCAGAATTTGAAGAAATAAAACCAAGAAAGTCATTTGCTATCCTAGGGAAGTGAGCATCTTGGGCATGCAATGGGAGCAATGAGTCATAAGATCCTACAACTGACCTTTCAGAAGGCAGACAACTACAGAAAAGTCATTTGCTTCCTTTTCTACAGCTGCCAGTTGTAATTATCTCCACTAAAAGATGCTTCAAAGCTCTAGTGTTGTCAATAAGAATACATTCCACAACTTTTAACCTGCAAGAATAGAGGAATGATAGGTCCAAAGAGATTACCATTGCCAGGGAAGACTGCCATAGGAAGAAAAAATGTATGTCAACCAACTGGGCTAAATTATCAGTCATACAAAGTACAAGAAATGATGGATAGACACACATCTAAAGGAATGCAGAGATAATTAAAGACAGCTGTGGATCTCTCAGATCATTGTCATTTAGTTCTGATTTAGGAATTTGTGCAATTTTATTTTCCTGTTTCTTTCTCATGGTTTTTGCCTTTTGGACAAGCATTCAAAGTTTATGAATACTTATGGGGATGCATTAATATCTAATGGCCATTAACAGCTTTACATTGATTCAAGGGATTTTCTTTGGATACCATGTAAAAAGAGAGGACAAATGGTGAAAGAGAAATTATAATAGGCCAGGACCTGCAAGATTTGAAGGATTTTTAGCATGCACAAGCCAATGCTGATACAACCAGCATTAAATCAGAATAAAGGGCCCTGAAGGAGATGCTGGCTATTGATTTGAATGCAGAATGTCCAAAGATGCTTGAATGGTGTAAGATTATCTTCACTGTGTAATTTGAACACCATCTCTACCTCTATTGGATCCAGAGCCAGGATTTAGGCTTTATCCTATAAGAAAAGGGACTTTCACTCTGGGGAAAAGCCTGGTCAGGGTACACTCGAAGTACTCTGATTCAGTTTCTCCTTCATGGCCTGTTATTTATCATACATAGAGGAGCCCCAAGACTGAGTGTTCCCAAGCACAAGCTTTCTTCTCCCAACCTTTCTTCTTCACAGTCAGTCACACAATTTATGCCTGTGCTGAGATGGACCCAGTGACTTCAGGAGCATTTCCCACCAGTCTCAAAGTAGGAACAGGGATCCAAGAAGCAAAGAACTGCTATAACTATTCTTTTTGGGTATGCATCTCAAGATGCAAAAGAGGATTTTCAAACCCTGCTTCCTTCGGGGGCTGTGTTTCTCTTCACAATGTACCACCCTCTGCATGGACCCTTGGCATGCCAGTACATTGTCATTGCTACAAAGCAGATTTGATTTAATTTTTTAAGTATTAGCTCCACAGTTTACATTAATATTTTCATTCTCAGCATTTTCCTTTTGAAAAATGTCTATAGTACAGAAAAAATGGCTACTGTTCCTTTCACCATTGCCTTACTGCTTTGATTTGGAGAATTAAAGATATTCAGGTTAAGTAGTCATTGTGTACCATTCAGCTTTCATAAATTAAATAACCATGTCTACCATTCATTTAAAGGCAGCCAGTGCTTTCATTAGTACAAATTAATTGACAAAACAACACATGCCATTTTGACTTTGGTTTTATTTTTTTGTTTTTCTTTTTGAGTTAATGGGATTATAAAAAAAAAAATCTATATAGATAGTTTTTATGACTATTTTATCCATTTTCCTTTCATTTTTATTAGTGCAGCAGAAAGAGAGCTATCCAGAAACTTTATAACTCTAATATTTGAAAAGAAAACAAAAAAACAAAACATCACTTGACTTCATTTTTCAATAGCAAGTACAATTTGAACCATAAGGGGACTTTAAAAAGAGGGGGACACTTGTAGGAATAATATCTGTAATAAGAAGTCAGTTTTGATTCTCTTCCTCATTTTGTATAATATGGCAATGCAATAATGTGGTTAATAATTATTTTACAGTTTATATTTTCATTGTTGTACAAAGCAAAAGATTCCTGAACTGAAATATAATTCAATCTTGAAATGTAATTTGTATTCAAAGTTGAATTTTGGAACTCACTTTTCTTTCAAATATTAGGTTCTCTGTGTCTTTTGTATTGCTTATGCCACAGCACTGGGTAACAATTTACAATGGAAATAGATAACAGTTTCATCACTGTGATGTATTTATTTCAACAATTGCTTATTTGGGCGAGGAAAGAAGGGGATTACATTGAGAAATTATAGTAAAGGTATTCTTTCAATTAATCCAACACTCCATATAGAAATACATTTATCTAACAATCTTTCTATTGATGTGGTCATTTTTTAGTATTCTTGAAAATTATTGCATTATAAGCATCCCAGCATGTGTTTTGCCTGCAACAAACTGCATCCTTTCTGCTCGCAGTGACGTTTGCATTCAGACTGAAATGCTATGCTTTGCTGTGCACGGACAAAGATATGTTCATCTCAACATTTCACATCCACAGAGGTTTATAACTACTTTCCATTTCATATAATTACATATTAACATTGTATTTTCAGAGTGCAGTAGATTAAACATCTAAGAACCACATAGTCCATATTAGCACTAGTTAATTATCTACAGGATTTGTTTCTGTTCAAAACATCTTATGGGCATGCTGAAATTAAATGCAAAGACCTTGAGAGAAAGTGTCTTACCTTCAAGAACCAATGTATATTTCAGGTAGACAGTCTTTGCTAAAGGTGTTTCAAAAGTCCCCCTGCAAAGCCTATACCAGGGCAGTAGGACTGCAAGTCCCAGTAACACCATACCATGAATAGACACTGCACTGCCCCCAGCACCTCTCCCCTTGAAAGAACAGGATCACTGACAAGGTGACCATTCCCTTGCTCAACCAACTGACTTTAACCTTGCATAAAACAAAGTTTTCGAACCTTGGTATCGGACTACTTCTCTGTTTCCCCTTTGTGTCTTCTGCTACAGGAAGGGACAAACAAAGGCAAAAATGTTAAATAATGAAAAAGCATAGGCAGATAGTCACAGTGACCACAGGATGTTCACCAGATATGTTTGGACAAAGGCAATTTAAGCACTGAGAAACAGAAAATCTACAAATCCCACATTTAGTTGACTGGACGAGAGGATTACAAGCACAGCAGGAAAAAAAAAAAATAAAACAACTTACAATTGGTCAACCATAAGACCACAGGGTCACCACTGATGCAGCAGACACAGTCATGAGCTTGGATGGGTTCTGGTACCTGTCCATACCACCTGCACATAGTCAGCTCCCAGCTTAATCTTCAACAGTGACTTTAGGGAGCACACAATGTATCATTACATTTCCATTAATCGGTCATCATGCTGTTTCTTGGATATTTTATTAATTTTGGTTTTGTCTTGTCCAAGTTAGTGCTCTAACAAGGAATTCTGGATATGAGTGATCACTAATCATGCATATGAAATGTTGGAAGTGCCACATCCTGAAAAAGCATGAATATACACTAATTATTTTGGCCTGATTAAAAAGACCCCAAACCAGACAATATTACATGGCATGCAGTAACAATAAAATACATTTTGGTTTTGTTTATCTGAAGATATGGTCAGAAATGCACTGACCTTGGCTGACTAAGATGGAAACAAACCTATTTCAAGTTCAAGGAATAGAAAAAAACATCATAGAGATTAATGCACAATAATTGGGTGAAATTGTTTCTATTTGTTATTTTTAATTTCCTTTAGAAGGTTATTCTGTACTGTATGATAGATTGCCAATGCTAATGCTTCTATCAAAAAACAATTACATCAAATCAGTTCCATTCACAAATGAAATATATTCAATGAAAATAAAAGTGTGTAAGAAACAGATTCATATCAGTGACATTTTTTACACATTTTCAATAATCATACAATAGAAAAAAGAAATGGATTAAAGTAACTATGAAATAAAATATATTTCTCTCTCTCACAGTCAAAAGCTAAGTTTCAAGGAGCGGGTCCGGATGGCCAGCCCACGAGGTCAAAGCATAAAAAACAGACAATCTTCAGTCGGAGATCGCCGGTCACCAAGTGCTGACATTGCCACCGAGGGCAGCCCAACCAAAGTCCAGAAGAGCTGGAGTTTCAATGACAGAACCCGCTTCAGGCCCTCGCTGCGGCTCAAGAGCTCCCAGCCCAAACCCATGGTCGATGGTAGGAGTCTTTCACCCCTTGTTTGCCACTGCACACTGCTCCCAGCTGCTCACACTCCTGCACACTTGTGAAGTGATTGTACACATTTTAGGAAGGCAGAAGGAATTGCACTTTGGGGCCAGAGACACAAACCAGCTAGTCTGCTTCAAAGAGCCCGATGATGTGATTTTTTTTTTAATAATAAAGCATGTCTGTGGTGCATCAAGGGTAACTGGTGGAAAAAGGGGTCACTATGTAAAGTCACAGTGGACTAAAAGCATCCCAGGGATTTGGCTGCAGCAGCTCCTCTGTCATGGCCCCTCTCCCACTACTGAGCTCAGCTGCTGCCTCTTGCTGGTGGTCCACACAGCACAGCCAGCATGTTCTGTGCCTTTACCAGCTGAGAGCACAGCTTGTGCAGAACTGGCTCCCTCAGGCAGAGGAGTCCCAGTAAGATACTCTACTGGATGCTTTAAGTTTTATGGGGTTGTATCTGGCTTTATAAGGCAGGTAGATTAAGCAAACAAAACCAGTGTTATTGCTTTTATGTATTGCTTTCTATAGGGTATTTTGGATGTAGGAAGCACTCCTAAAATGTAAAGAGGTGGGTCTTGGTGAAAATGGCTTGTTGAACCTCCAGCAGGCAGCCTAGCCTTTCCCTCAGGCTGCCTCCTATGCTGATCCATTCTCTAGCTGAAGTCTAATTTGGCATTATATTAACCAGGCGAGGCTCTTCATCTGATGAAGCTCACCAAAACAAAGTCAGTGACTCCTCTAACCAAGGAGCACCAAATTGGGTGACAGCAGCCCCCTGACAGGCAGGAGCTGACCGAACCAGGTGCAACTGACCCCTGTATGGGACAGGTCCAGCACTGAAAGGTGCACTCACATAGCTGTGGAGGTACTGCTGCCCCAGTGGATTTTGTTTTGGGTTTCTTCATTCCCATATTTCCCAATCCATGAATCTTTTGTTCTTTCTTATGGTATCCTCCATGTAAAAAACAAGGGAAACAAACTGGTTGACTTCCACAGAATGCAGTGACCCAGCCTGGATGGGAAAGGTACAACCTCTTTCTACAGTGGCAATCATGCATGCTACATCCAACAATTGTACTACGACTAATTAGACAGAAGTGCAGTGTTGATGTCGCTTCCTTTTTAAGAGCACATATTATCATAAACATGTAGATTGCAAAATACTCATTGAACTGCAATGCCCCATCCCTCAGTGAGGATGTTCTATACAACAGATCTCTTCAGGAAAAGTCTGGGTAAATAAACATTTCCTGGAGGGCAACCAAAACAAACCAGTGGTATTTGCTAAGGTCATTCCAGGCTAGCTCTCCCCCATGGAGATGTCTCAGATGCACAAATTCCAAATTTGTCTGTGGTACAGTGAGCTGCTGTGGTGTATGAGCTACCAGGATGCTAACCAGATTGCTCCACTCCACTGCTATCCACTCCTGTCTCCATGCTGGGGCACAGGCCCTGGCTTATGTCCCATGGCAGCTGCATCACAGGGGCTGTGTGACCTAGCCTGGGTCTCACGCTGACGTAAGGCTCAGACAAGGCCACAATGGGAACTGAGAAATGTTCTAGACAGCATAGTGGTTGAAGCTACCATGTCTAAATTTAAATTTTCTACATAATCACTTATAAAGCACAAGTATCTTCCCCAAACCGCATGAGAAGCAATTTTATAGGTTAAAACCCTGTAACTCACACTGTGCCTGGAAGTGACCTAAGAAGAAAGTAATTTTTTGAGCAGATACTCTCTCAGAGTATCAGTGTCTCACTTTTGCCCCAGCTCTGCAGTCTGCACCTCACTGAAGCACCTGTTTCATTTTCCGTCAGCCCATTTATCATAGAAGCATTTCCTCAGCATGTCCCCTATTTTGTCCTGTACATATTTTCATCAGTAACAAGAATGTGCACAAGTGGATCGTGCTGCTTCTGGTGGTTTCCCTCTCACGGAAAAGGTGGCATAAACAGCACCTTGGGTATATCTGCAGATAAAAGACAGTAACAACAACAGAGCACTCATTGCTGTGCGTAAACCCTTGAAGATCTTCCCGCTCCTCAGGGTGAGCACAGCCTGTTTCCTGGTCAGTGATTTCCAGCTACTAGTCCACCCTTATGAACTGGGGCCAACAGATACAACCAATTTCTCATCTGTGGCAGAAGGAACAGCTTCCATTGTCTCCAGCCTTTAGGCAAATGCCAAGTTTCCATTCTGGGACCTCATCCAATTACTTCTAGGACCAGTATGATTAGAGAGATGTGCAGTGTCCTCACTGCTGAGAGACAGCTCCCTGCTGCCTTACCCAAACTTTTGCAGGAAAAGTCGGACACTACTAACCCTGATTTCTTTTTCTTTCTTTTCCTTCATAGCTTGATGCTTTCTGCATTTGACAGATCAGTGAAAAAGATCTCAAGATAATGTATTTAATTTAGAACATCTTGCATTTTTCACTGGGTGAAAAAAACAGTATATGCAGCATATCATTCTTATCTCTTGCTTACCAGATACTCCCATTTCCTCCTCAAGGTATTCCCCAACCAAATAATTAATTATTTTGGCAGGCCAATCATCAAGCCAAAACTAGAAGCCAAATTTTTCTGGGTGAAATCTTGGGCACAAAACAGGACCCTTGAATGGCTGGTCCTTCTGGTAATTCCTACATCTCTGTAGGTTGTTTGGTGGGAGAAGAAATTACATTCCAGAAGATCTTTGGGGCCATGACAACATAGTGCTGGATACCCAGCTCAGTGTCAAAACTTAGTATCAGTGAAAAAATTATTTGTACTATGAACTTCCTCTTTCAAAAAAGACAGAAGACATTTCACTGTATGGGATGTGGAGTTGTAAATGCTCTGCATAGGCAGAGGACTGAATTCTGTGTGAAAATAAAGAAAATAGGTAAATATATAAGGAGAGGACTCCAAAAGGAAGGAAAATTGTTAGCGTACGAGGATGATTTAAGGCAGATAGATTGTCAACACAGAGACTTTGCAGTGCTGACTAAGTTCTGGTAAGGACATGGATGGAATCTGGGCCAAAACCGCCAGAAAGACACTGCTGGAGAAACTCAACATTAGCAATTAGGAACTGGCCTGTAAAGGGAGGTTTCTAGTCCAGACAGGATCTCATGGGGGCAACTAAAAGGCTAACCTGACTGAAAATGTAGTAGCTTGCCTCTTAGGCTACCCAGCAACAAACACTCTAGCACTCCCCCACTGCATATTAAAATAATAGGACAAGAATTTCTTGGCAGCAAATAAAACACTTAAGCCAGCCGCAGATATCTCCCAAAAGGATTTTGGCATAGCAGTCTTAGAACAGTATGACCAAAACCATTGCACAAATTATTTATTGTTAGTAACAATCCTCTGAAACTGCCCATAAACCATTTATTGCCATTGACAAATTGGGTCTGAAAACAGCAGTAATTAATTCAGTTACATATGTGCATTTGCAAATGGAATCCAAACCTGAGAGAGGTTTGATGGTTAGAGAAGTCTTTGGTGGCCTGAGTGGAGATATTTTCTAGGGCATTTAACAATAGCTCAGGGGAGTGAAAGTGAATATCAAGACTTACATAATCTGATTTTAAATGTGCAGCCTCTGGTGGTTCACGTGGTTCACAGCTTCCAGAAATCTTGTTGAAGAGGGGACCCTGCACAAATTAACAAAGGTGCCAGAATACTGAATTTCCAATCCATGTTATCTGCCTAAAAGGGAATTATTAGGATAAGGCAGATGAAAGGGAACTTTTCACCAATCAAGAATGGTAAATAGTGAAGCTTAACAAAGCACACACTTAAAAAGGATTGTATAGGCTTGTGGAAGAGCCTTCCTCAAAGGGATACTCTGTCACATGGGCAAAGGTGTTGTCTGACCTTGGAGCCACTCACAGCCCCCTCTGCACCCGTACACAAAATGAGCCAGGAGCTACCTCTGGCCCCAAGGCCTCCTCGTGCAGTGTGGCTTTGGTCCCTGTTAACAACAACAGGGAAGCTGCAGCCAAACTTCTGTGGGTAGCGGTGCCCAGAGCATGAGAATACCCACCAGCAGGGCCATGACAGTCTGTGCTGGTTATTAAACAGTACAGGTGATCGCATGCCTTGCTTAAGGGACTGTGCCTGCGCCTTGTTGTACGTTGTGTATCCATCCACTGAGTCTCAACTGCACAAATCTCTTCTTTACAATGGTGTGCCTGTCCTGTTTTGTTTTCTGCTTGCATTACTTTCTGAGGAACAGAACCCTTTCTGCTTAAATCATGCTCCAGTTTTGCACTACCACGGCTGAATTAATGAACCAATATTATGTTGTGGATGCAGTTTTCTGTGAGGGAGAAAAATGCCCTATTACATTTGTTTTCTACCATCCCATGCTTCTAAGTCTCTGAATGAGTTATTGTGCCTTTACTGTAACCTAGAGACATTGTGTGGCTTTTTGAATAAAACATCAAAAGCATTCAGCACTGGAGATATTACAAACATATTTCATTTGATTAATTAAAAAGAACTCTCTAAGGAAATATTTGATTTCTTGCACCATCCCCAAACATTATACACTCACATGACCTCTAGCCTTTCATTCCCCACAGAGTACTTGCACAAAATCCTCAGGGTAGAGTATATTATAAGAGCCATGGAAAGAATGCAATTGTGCATTTCAGCCCCCATGTCCTCAGCTGCTACCATGTAATTTATGTATTGCAAAAATGACAAGTTGTCCTTTCAGTAGCATAAACAGCTTGACCTTGGATAAGGTTCACTTGATGTGGCAGAAGACCTTAGTTGGGTTGTTTCTACATCTAAGCTTAAATTTGCTGATTCAAAGTGAAGCTGCATGTTGTCAAAGCTTGAATGAAATTTATTAGCAATATATCAATCCGTGCTAGACAAGAGATTTATTTTCTTGTTATTGCCTTCCATAGAGCAGATAGAGCTCTCATTTATTACCATTGCCACTGTAATTAACTAGGAAGATCTGGCATTCTGATCTAAGCTCTGAG